TTAGTGGGTTTTGCCCACTGCTCTGAACCCACCGTTGCTGGGTCTTAGTGACTGCAATACCTAGCAAAAGTGGGTCATGCTCGCAGCTATGGGCCTACTGTTGCGGGATTATAGTGGAAGCATGACCCACCTTTAATGAGTCCTTCTTTAGCTGGGCTCACCTTTGTTGGGCCTGTTGGCAGTAGTGGGTCCTGTTGGCAGTAGGATCCACCATTGCTAGGTTCTAGTGACAACAGGGTCTATCTATAGTAGATCCTGGCAAAATCAGGGTCCAACTTTAGTGGGTTCTGCTGGTAGTTAGGTTTGTAGCAAGGCCCACCATAGTCAGGTCCTAGCGGTAGCAGGGTCCAACTTTAGTGGGTCCTACTTACAGCTCTGGGCCCACCATTGGTGGGCCATGGTTGTAGAAGAGTCTATTTTTAGTGGGTTTTGCCCACTGCTTTGAACCCACCGTTGCTAGGTCTTAGTGACTGCAATACCTAGCAAAAATGGGTCATGCTCGCAGCTATGGGCCTACTGTTGCGGGATTATAGTGGAAGCATGACCCACCTTCAATGAGTCCTTCTTTAGCTGGGCTCACCTTTGTTGGGCCGGTTGGCACCTAGATTTGTTATTATTGGGTCTGACAGCTGTGCCAAGCTCAATAACCTTGGGTCTGGCTATGGAGTCAATTTCAATAAACTTAGATCTTGGTAGAAACACTCAACAACTAGGTATCCATTTTGGCCTAACGCTGTTAGGCAGCAGGTCCCACTATCATTGGATTATGCTTTGCAAAAACACCCATTTAGCTGGGTATCCATCTAGATCTTATGCTGCTGGGAAATAAGGCCCAACATTATTAGGTCATCCTTGATAAAAAAAACCTAGCATTATTGGGTCATCCTTGTTAGAGTGACTCGGAGTAAATACATAAAATATATTATGTGAAAAAAATTTATTTAGAGCTCCATCAACTTTAATATGATAATATAAGAATTATAAATTTTCTACTTAATGCTTTTATTATGAAAAAAAATTTAAGAGGAAAAAACAATTTTAATTTGAAGTAAAGAAAAAAAATATACCTTTTATTTTCCAAAGCATTTTTGAAAGGGAAAAAAATATTATTTAATAAAAAAATTTAACCCAACCTCAAATGAAAAAAAAATCACCACCTAATTTTTGTACAAAAAAATTCTCATCTATTTATTTACTTTATATAGTATGAAAAAGAAAAAAAAAATTGAAGTAATGAGTCCAACTAGGGGGCAGGATCTAACTCTAACAGGTTCAACATGATCCAATACTATTAAGTCCTACTGCAACGACCTAACAACCCTTTAGACCCAAGGCATGCAGTTTTGCAAACCTACTTGTAGGTCTGTAGCCAGGTGCACAAGCTGACCCTATCACCTAGGTTATGACAGCCCAACATCAGGTGTTTATATCTTGGGACACAACCCCACCCTCATTTAACCTTTAAACTCACTATGTTAGGACCAAGGGAAATGGGTCCTATGTGATGATCTAATTCTCTTGGGTCCTGCGTGAAAACATAAGATTTTAGGACATTAAATTTCTAAATATTATTATTTGTATTATAATTAGAAGTATTAATATTAAAAATAGTATTATTTGTGTTGCAAATATTATTATTTTCATTGTAATTAATATTATTAATAAAAAAAATTAATAGATTTGGAAAATAATATTATCAATATTGAAAAACAACTATAAATTTGATTTGAAGTATAAAATTAAAAATTACTATTATTGTTATTATTATTATTAATATTTTTTAAAAAAATACTATTATTACTATTGAAGAAAAATCATAATTTTTTTTTTTAAAATATAAGCTTTGGATCTAAACGTGAATTGGGTCTTGACGCAAGATCTATTAGCCTTGGGTCTGGACGCAAATACATCACCAATAGATCCGGATCTTAGGTAGCAGGTCTACAGACCCCCGGTGTGATATTCTGCACTCAACATGTGGGTCTATAGATCCCATAATTTTTTTTTTAAAATATAAGCCTTGAATCTAAACGTGAATTGGGTCTTGACGCAAGATCTATTAGCCTTGGATCTGGACGCAAATACATCTCCAATAGATCCGGACCTTAGGTAGCAGGTCTACAGACCCCGGTGTGATATTCTGCACTCAACACGTGGGTCTATAGATCTAGGTGGGCGATTCAGCAGATCCAGTGTACGGGTTTACAGACCCAACCGCGTGGTTTTGTAGATCTAGCGTGTGGGTCTGGCCTTAGTGCCATGGGATGACAACCTCAGCATTAGGTGTCTATGACATGGGGCATAACCCCCACCCCTTGTTGTCTATGGAATTCTCTATGGCAGGGTATGATAGTCTTAATACCAGTTGCCCGCAGCCTGGGACTTGTAATCCCATCATGCCTCACCAAAATTTGCACTGATTTTTTTTTTTCAAATCATCCCTTTAATGCTAAATGCATCCTAATAAAAGACAACTCTATCTACCTGTAGTTTTTGCAACTCTTCGTAGCAATGACAGCTTTATCATTATATTTTTTCAATATAAGACTTTTGCTAACACTGTGTCCATCCACGGTGAACAAGACTTTCCCCAAATAGATTTAGCTTTATGTTAATTGCACATGATGTTGTATGTTTTAAAAGAAGCAAATATTGACTTTTCATAGCTATAGGATTTCTCATTCAATTATCTTTCCATAGTTACATGATTCTTTGTTTATGAAGGCTGATTTGTCTCTAATTTATCAAGACTGTAAGGAGACTCTATTCCTATATTCAAGGCTGTTGTAGTTGCCATGTACGATGAGTTACTATTTTGAAATGAAGTAGCCGTTGGAGTGTTATCCCTGCAATCCTGGATGTTGGCGTGATAAATGCTGATCAAGATTGCTGAGAGAGCTGTAATAGTCGTGGTGTCTGCTGAAGGTGCTGCAGAGGGTGTAATCGTTGTGGTGCTGCTTTAGAGGTTGTAATCGTTGTGGTGGTAGTGCTGTTGTCTGCTAAAGGTGTGACGCAGCTTCTGTTGGTGCTGCTGTGTGGCTGCTAATATTAACTGCCCGCCATAAAAAGAATAAAAACCTGACATTACTTTGCCTTGAAAACCAACATATTTCCTTTGAAAACTATTTAGAGTCCTTATTCATAAGTTGCATATATAAATGTACTGATAAAGAATAATTCTTAATGGATGAAGAATTATTTATAATAAATATAAATTGAAGTTCAAAATAAATTAATAAAAAATAAACATAAACTTAAGCTCGAGTCAAGTGAGTGTGACTTAAAGATCAAAAACCACTTTGTTTAGACTCATTTATAATTCTTTAATTTTTTACTATAAACTATAAAACAATTTTGTAATTTTTTCTTATGGGATAAATGATTTTTTACAAAAAAATATTAACTAATGGTTTTTTAATATTAATTTTTTATTTATCTGTAATTTATTTTAGTTATGTCAATATTTTATGTTAAAAAATTTTAGTTATTTTTTTTAATAAAACTTTAACTTTAAAGATGAATGTAACTCGTTTTTAATTTGATTTTAAATATATTAATTAAATATGGTTTAAAATAAATTTACTATCATCGATATCATAAAATGTGGATGATTATTGGATTAATAGCTTTATTTACTAACAAGTATTTTGTTATTTTATTTAAATTCAATGATTTAATTAGTATTTATTTATTTATTTTCAATGAAAGTTGGCCAGGAAATTCAATTATTTACCTTTTCTTAATTTGGCGTCGAGTATACTAATTATTTACCCAAAAAAAAGTACTGTCTAAAAATGCACCCCTCTTCTCCTCCGTCACTCATCGTGTTCTTGAACAGAGAAAATGTTCTTGTCATATTTATATTAGCGATTTATATATATTTTTATTATTATTAATTTAGCAATATATTTGATCAAAACATAAAATTTTATATTTAGACGACAGCTTGAATCTCTAGGTAGGCTGCACTGACATTTCTTGTGAAGACTTTCCAATTTATTCAAAGTATTTAATTTTTATTTATCCCAGTCTCACTTATGAGAATTATATTATAACTCTATATATAGAAAACATTTAAAAAACCCTATTAATATAAAATATAAATAGAAAATTTATTTTCTTCAAATAAAAAAGACTAATAATTATGGATAGAAAATAATGAAATAAAAAAATTTTAAAAATATTTATTTTCTCTAAAAAATCAGACACCAGTCTCTCTTTCATGTTGAAAAAAACTTATCAACAAGTTCAAATTATTCTTATAGCAGAAACATCTCAATTAGAAACTGTTCTCCGCTGTCAAAAGGTCTATCATAACATTCTTCAAGCTTATACTTGGTAAAAAAACAATGACTTTTTTGTATGTGAGCTTTTCCATGAATCTCTAATATTTTTGTGCGAGTTACTCCATCGTGAATTTTTAAAATCTTTTATCTTATCATGTATCTTTAATACATTTGTGTTAGTCGCTCATAATGGATCCCACAATTAGGATTTCGATTAACAACACAGAATAGTTATTAGTTAGAAATGGGTTATGATATCAACTAATACAGAAAAAAAGAAGGAAAAGTCAAACGCCTCAAATAGAAAAAATACCATAAATACATTTAAATTATTTAATTTTTATTAATCATTGTCAAACTATTTAATTTTTATTAATCATTGTCTTACTTGCCAAAATACTATTATAAAACTTTATATAGAAAAAACTAGAAAATCTTATTAATATTGAATAAAAAATAAAAATATAAAAACCATTTTTTTCAATAAAAAACTAGAAAAGCCTTATAATACTAAATAGGAAAAAAAATTAAAATAAATAAAAAAACAAAAATACTTTAAAAAATATTTTTTTCTAAAGGAACTCCGTGCATTGTATGGCCAATAAACTTCTATTACGGAAAGCGCCAGGAGCGATCCTGTGTGTATATAAATGGGGTATGGAAACTTTGGGACTCGTTTTTCGATTAGAACATTTTCTATGGTATTCTACGGCAATGACTCATACTGCTGTAGGGATTTTTAAGGTAAAGGACATGAAGTCTAGAAATGGAGTCTCACGTCCGGAGATGATGAGTATTTCACAGAAGTATCAAAATTTGTGTTTGAAAAAAGGGGCATGGGATCCTGATGAAGATCAAATATTGAGAGCTTATATTAAGAGATATGGCACTCGGAATTGGAATGAGGTGCCGAAAGCTGCTGGTAATTAATAACAAAAAAAAAAAAAACTGCTAATGATTAGAACTTGAATTCAAAATGTTACATCTACAGGCAAAGCGCAGTGAAAATAAACTATGATATAATTTATTACTTCTTCTTTTTTGCCTCCATTTGTAGGTTTGTTAAGGTCAGGGAAGAGTTGCAGGTTTCGTTGGATGAACTATCTAAGGCCGGATATTAAGCGTGGAAACTTCAGCAAGGAAGAAGTGCAAACCATAATCAAGCTGCATGAAATGTTAGGAAATAGGTAAAATTATTCTCAAATATAGATAATATTAGCTAGCTAACGCATGTGAGTTTCCATTTCTTTTTATGAGGGCTCACCTATTCCACATGTTCATCGGGTTACTCTCAGCTCATTTCTTGAACTTATGTCCTGCAATAAAAAATTTTACATGCACAGTCTCCTCTAATAGTTCTATTTAGTATATTAAGACACACAATTCATAGGTATTTGATGTTATAAAATCCCTTTTTTATGATGAATTTTCTATGATTTTCGAAGCATTCAATCACTTTTTTCTCTTGCTGTAAAATTTGAAGAAAGTAATACAACTCTAAGTAGTAGTCGATTGGTATATAGAGCTAAGTATGCAAACTAGTAGTATTTTACATCAATTGAAAAGAATAATGACTTGGATTGGCTGCATAAGATAATAATATTTTATTTTTTCATATATTTCAGTTGGTCTGCAATTGCAGAAAAGTTGCCCGGAAGAACCGATAACGACATAAAAAATTTCTGGAACACCCACTTGAGGAAGAGCTTCAACAACAATATTAGTAATACTGCAGTGCAAGCACCTAAACTTGAAGGAACACAGACATCCGAAGAAGAATCCAAGCAAAGGAAATCATCGAACATCATTGATGTTTCATTTCCCACTGCTCCAAAAATATTGAATTCAGAAGATCAGTACTCCTCCAAGGGGACGCTCCACATGTCACCAATTCGGTCTACTGATAATTCTCATCATCAAGTTCCAGTCATGTGAATGGCATCAATGAAAACAAGCGCGTGGAGGACAATGTTGGATCACTCGAATCAATTGGAGAACTAAGTTTGTTGGATCAGCCATCTTCCATGGAAGCGCAAATGGGCAGGGTAGAGGATTATGGAGAAGCATACACTGATCAAATGGGGGTACAAGAATTGTTGGACTATCCAAATGTTTCCCATAATTTTGATGCTGGCCAAGAGTTTTGGATGAATTGTTTGATGAAAACACAATTGCATGGAAACAAAGTATAGCGTGTGTTTATAATTTGCGATAACATTCTTTTACGTATTTCGATGTCGTTCTGCTCTTTTCTCTTCCTTTATGCTACTGTTGATTATCAATATGATGTTTCTGTTCTGAGGTTTTTTTTGGTATTTAAGCTGATTGATTTTGATGATTCATGATGGACATGTCGATTCCATCCTAAGATGTTTGTGGCAATGTCCTTGGTGCAATTGCATTGGTATGCTTGATACTAGAATCAATATTTTCAGCTATGTTTCATTAATTTGTTCTGCTTTCCGTTGTGCTCCATGCCAAAATCAAGGCTCTCGCGATGCTTCTGCTGAAAGGTTTACGGCGATGCTGTCTATTCAGATGGTCTTGTTTATGCTTAACTATCATGCTGCTATTGCTGTGGCCAAGAATTGTTTTGCGTCAAGATGTCATAAACAAGGGAGGCTCTGTCCTTGTTTTCGCGGGGTGCTCGAGCACTGTGACATCATCTAGTGACTGTGGAGGCTCCTGTCATACCTCTTGTACGAGGGTGGTTTGTTGAGAAGGTTTTTTGGATTTAATTATAAAATTATGATTAAGATTCAAGAGTCGCCACCTAGTATTATGATCACTAGGAACCTATGGTCTGCGAGGAGCTGGGTAAAGAAAAGATGCATCACTTCCAGTACATCCTATTTAAGGTAAGCTGTATTATTATTTGGTTATTTTTTTCTAAGTCAGGTTTCTATTCATTGGTCTTTTCTAATGTTTAAGATAAATCTCTTCTTATAAGAAAGTCTCTATTTTATTGGGTTAAATCCTAATCATTCTAAGGTCTGAATTTTAGCATTGTATTTATTTATAACTTGTTTCTTTAATACTTGAGTATGTACTTTATCATGTAATTTTACACCTCTTAGAAATTGAAGTCTAAATTTAGACCATAGAAAAAAAGTTGGAAAAAGGTTTTTGATATTTTGGTCAAATCTTAATGGATAATCATAAACTGGTTATGATATCTATTTTTTATTTTTAAAATATGAGAAAGATGCAAAAAAATTTCATATAAAAAATATGCTTGGAAAAATTTTAAGATTTGACACAGCCTCGTGACTAAGTTGCACAAGATAATGCAACGTGAATTATAATTCACGTTGCACTATTCTCATGCAGCGGTAGCAGGCAGGAAAAAGAAGTAGAGAGGAGGGAGACTTCCCTAGCATTGAGGGATGCGACCTGACTAGTGGCACATGATGCAACTGGAGATGGTGAGGTTGATGGCTGGCTCTGGTCGCAACTGGAAAAAGAAGAAGCAGAGGCCTACAAAAGAGAAGGGAAGCTCACGATTGGAACTGTTGGAGTGGATGAGGAGAGAGCTGCTGCCCTAGTTGCTTTTGGGAAGCACAAAAGCTTTTGGGTAAGGTGGTTGCTGCTGCTACTATTGCTCTCGGGTTCACGGTGGTCAAGAAGAAGATTTTTACAGAGGAGAGAGAGTAATGCAACTACCACGTGAGATGGTTTGATGGCTACTTGAGGTGGGAATAATGGTGAGAAGACTAGTGATGACGGTGGTGGTGGTTGAAGGCCATGACAGAGAGAGAAAGAAGAGAAAGTACTGGTTGTAGGAAAAATAAGCAGGGAAAACTGGTTTTTTTATCAATTTTGCGATTGATTTTCTTCTTCCTCCTAAACATGAAATCTACTTCTATTTATAGGGGTAGAAGAGGGTAACCTTGTCTTTATAGGGGAACAATTTTCAGCCCTAGATTTGGTTGGGAAGGATCCCAACCATTGGCTCAAAGTAGGCATGTTGCACTATCAAATCTGCAACTGCAGGCTGTCTGAGGTGTCTTTTTTGGGGTGGTGCCACATCTGTTTATTTGCTAGTGATTTGGTGATGACCATACCTAGATGTAGAGGGATGTTTGATAATTAGTTTTGTGCAAGGTTTGGCAAATTTGATGGACATTAAGTACATTAAATGCACCTGCAAAATAGGTGACTAGACTATTTTTTTGGAAAAAATAAAGAAAATAATGAATAGTGACCAGACGACGTGTCGTCTAGTTCTTCTTTTTTTACTTAAAACAACGTCGTTTTAGGTTTTAAATAGAGATTTCTCTGAAGTTCAAAGCAGTCCTCTAACTTTTGATTTTATGCAATTGTACTCCTAATTGACCCTAAACTTTTAATTTAATGCAGCTATAGCTTTGCCAAACTTTAATTGGAATCCTTGACTTACACACCTTTTGCATATTGATCCTTAATCTTGGATTTATACAATTTAACTCCTAATTGACCATTAAATTTTTAATTTTTTCAATTTAACCCCCGGTTTTTGTCAATTAGGCCCTTATAGTCTGACGCCTTTTGCGGATTGGTCATTGGCTATAAATTTCCTCAATTTAACCCCTTATTGACCCTAAAATTTTAATTTTCTTGCAAAATAACCCTTGATTTCAATCAATTAACTTGATAAAAATTAAATTTGATCTCTTAAAATTCCAATCCTCTCAATTACACCCAAATTAGGCCCTCAAACTTAATTTTTCATTAAGCCCAAAATAAAATTAATTAGACCCATTTAAAATATAATTAAGTCCTTGCATTTAATTAAATTCTTCAATTGGACCCAAATTAATTCTTAAACGTAATTAAAATTCAATTTGGTCCATGATTAAATCAAATTGGCATATCAAAAATTTAATTATGTCCTTGGACTTAATTTTTATGCAAAATCATCTAATAATCATTTAATTTGACCTTGAATTTGCATTTTTTTCTCCATTTTTTAGTATAATAGAGTACAATTAGGCCTTGAACTTCAGAATTGCAACTATATTTCCAAGCCTGTTTTCTCCACGCTGCTAGTTTTTATTTTGGTTTTTTATTACTTTTTATTTGAAAAAAAAGTGAATTTTAAGGAATAACTCAGAATTGGGTTATGGTAAGCATAATGGTAATGATCAAGTGGAGAGGTATCATACAAGATTGGTGGTGAAATGATATGCTTAGAAAGAAGAAATAGGCTTCATTGAAGTATTTTTCCCGGTAGTACGACTTACTACAATTGGAGTAGTCTTGATGATGTGTGTTATATTTGATCTTCACTTAGAGTAGTTAGACGTGAACACTGCATTTTTTTATAGAGAACTTGAAGAAGAAATTTATATGCTCCAACCAGAGGGTTTTGCTGAAACAGGCAAGGAGAACTTGGTTTGCAGGTTGAACAAATCCCTATACAGTATCAAACAAGCGCTGAGGTGTTGGTACAAGAGATTTGATTCCTTCATAATTAGATTTGGGTACAACAAACTTAGTTCAGACCAGTATATGTATTATAAGAGGTTTGAAGAAGATGATGATTTCATCATTCTACTATTGTACATGGATGACATGTTGATAATAGACTCCAACAAAGATCGAGTCAAAAAATTGAAAGAATAGTTAGCTAGGGAGTTTGATATGAAGGACTTAGGATTGATAAACAAGATTTTAGGGATACAAATTCACCGAGACAGAAGTAAGAGGAAGATTTGGCTTTCTTAGAAGAACTATTTGAAGAAAATCTTACGACGCTTCAACATGCAAAATTGTAAGCCAATTTCCATCCCACTTCCTATTAACTTCAAATTATCCTCAAGTATGTCTTCTAGCAATGAAACAAAGAGGATAAAGATATCTTGAGTACCATATCAATTAATAGTGAGAAGTTTAATGTTTGTCATGATATGTACAAGACCAAACATTGCACAAGCAGTGGGAGCAGTTAGTTGACACATGAAAAATCCTGGTAAGGAGTATTGGAATAATATTAAGAGGATCTTGAGATACATCAAGGGTAACTCAAATGCCATATTATGTTATAGAGGATCAGAATTACCTATTGTCATAACCCAATTCTGGGTTATTCCCAAAAATTCACTTTTTTTAAAAATAAAAATTAGAAAATAAAATAAAGGTTGGCACTGTGGAGAAAGCTAATCTAGAAAGACTGCAAAAATAGACAAAAATCAAGCTGTAATTTTTGGAGGAGATTTAAGACCTATTAGCGCCCCATTATGCCTAAAATTGGAGAAAAAAAATGCAAATTCAAGGTCAAATTAAATGATTATTGGATAAATTTGCATAAAAATTAAGTCCAATAACATAATTAAATTTTTAATAGGCCAATTTGATTTAATCATGGGCCAAATTAAATTTTAATAATGTTTAAGAATTAATTTAGGTCCAAATAAAGGATTTAATTAAGTGCAAGGACTTAATTATACTTTAAATGGGTCAAATTAATTTTATTTGGTGCATAATTGGTGAAAAAATTAAGTTTGGGAGCCTAATTTGGGCTTAATTGAGAAAATTGCAATTTTAAAAGACCAATTTTAATTTTTACGAAGTCAATTGATTGAAATCAGGGGCTAAATTGAAGTTTTGGGGCCAATTAGGAGTTAAATTGACAAAATCCGAAGCCAAGGATCAATCTGCAAAAGGCGTTGAACTATAGGGGTTTAATTGATAAAATCCGGGGGTCAAATTGAAGAAATTGAAAGTTTAATGGTCAATTAGGGACAAAACTGCATAAATTCGAGACTAAGGATCATATTGCAAAAGGCGCATAAATCTGGGGCTGAAGTTGAAGTTAAACCGGGACCAAATTACATTAAATCAGAAGTTTAGGGTCAATTGAGGAATTATATTGAAAGAAATTGAAAGCTGGAGGACTAAATTGAAAATCAGCAAAAATCCCTAATTTTTATCCAAAACGGCGTCGTTTTTATGTTTAAAAAAAGGGGGGGGGAAGGGACTAGGCGACGCATCGCCTGGTTACTGTTCATCTTCTTCCCCGCAAAGCCACCCAAGTGGCAGCTTTCTAGGCGCATTTTCTGCCTCGTTTGGCCACTAAATCCGACAACGTGTGCGCCAACTTGTCCACCTGAAACCCCTCTATCCCTGAGAATGGTCGAGTCAGGTCGACAAACTTTGAAACAGCTCCGTTTATTGGCCCAAAGTGGCCACCTCGTGCAGTCTGTAGCCTTGG